CTCAAAACTCAGCACATTGGTCCTGGTAGGTTGATGGCCCAATTTGCCTCTTCCCCACCCCCTGTATTACCATAAGAAAGGAAGGAGTAATGCTACTGTCTCAGCATCAACCAGCAAAGATTACAGGCCAACTTTCTGTGAGTGCCGTTACAGATGGTTTGAACAATGCAAAATTCAGTCCAGTGGATTTGACATGTTTGTAGTTCCTTTCCACATAAAAAAAGAATTCGGTTTAAATTACCCTGGGTCGTCAGATACTCCAGCCAGGTTTCCTTTTATATGAAAATCTGGTGACCGCCTTAAACCCTCTGATTCAGTGCTAGTCTGAGCTGACAGTGTCCTAAACACTATAAACTATTGTAGTTATTGCACTGAAATGTCTACCCATCCCCTGCAATATTTCAGCTGCTCTTATATACTCCCTCTGAGACTGATTGCTACTCATAAGCCTGTCAGCTTAAGACCGTTACAGTTTAGAGAAAACAGCCATTCAATTTATAAGTCAGGATTAAAGTGGATATTAAAAAAAACAAGGTGGGATTTTGTTCCACAGCTTTCAATAAGACAATATTGCCTGTAAGCTCAGTTTGGAAAGTTTATAACTTAATTCTATGACAGGCACAAAAGTAGGGATTTTTGTTCCTTACCTCAATAGTTTGCCCCATATTTCAATCTGGGATAGAGTTTAATCACGTATAGCTTGTGCTGTGAGTCCAAAAGGAGGCTCTACAAATTTTGGCACTGTCTAGACAGTAGCTTTTCTGTCCTTTTTGTTCTGTTCCCAAGGCACGGGCAGATGAAAGGACAGTCACAACGTACAGACAGGTGGATGTTAGACAATAGTTGGCACATTCAAGCTTCCTTCAAACTAGCTTTTATGCATGCTGGGAATATCCTCATGCATCTTCGTGCTTGAACAAACACCTTTACCCTACCTTTCTTTCCTTAGCACTCATTAATATCACTCCACATTTAAGTAATGTGAACCAGAGTTGGCCAGAAGCGGGGTTCACATCTGTGGTACAAGTCACCTCCATGATGCTTTTAGCAGGTTACAGCAGGCCAGAGCCCACAAGCCCACTAGGGCTGTACGAAGCTCCAGTAGCCGATTCAATTCGGAGATTTGGCCTGATTCAGCAGTCGAATCTCCAAATCCGAAACAAATTGAGAGACCCGTTAAAAGGTCCAAATCAATTCAGAAGCCTCCGAATCAATTTGGAGAGATTCGGCCATAGACTATACAGGCAGCAGTCCTTGAGGACACTGGACAGTTGCCTCCAGCAGGTAAGTCTGTTGTGGGTGGAGGGGGGAAGGGAAGGAGTGTCGGGGGGAGGTGCAGATCAAGGCCCCCACCGTGAGGGAGGGATTGGGGCAGGGACAAGCTGCTCAATGGGCAGGGAGACGTGGGACTTGGGGAGGGGGGCTCCTGCCACTGCAAGCTGCCGCAC